GGTGATGGAATTATCAGACACAGACTGCAAAATAACTACCCATATAATGTTCAAAGATATTTTTAAAACATGATAAACGAACAAAGTGTTACCAAAAAGGACTAGGAAATTTGAAAAATGACCAAAACAAATCCATATTTGTACCTGCTTTTTACCTCATTTCCCCAATCACAGGAAGAAAGGCCCACCCTCATTTCTGAGGTCAAGCTCCCTCTGTGCCCATGGCTGTCTACCTCAGAGGCCTTCCAGGGCTCCCTGGGCACTGGGCCACAGAAATGCTGGGGGTTCCTCCAGGACTGGCATGTACCATGTCACGTCTTCCCCATGGCTTACCGGAGAGGTTTGAGACTGCAAAAAAAAGTCAAAGATCTACCAGTTCTGTAGCCGGGACACCCATGGAAGAACCTACACTTGGGGGTTTCTGCAGAATCAGTAGCCACGTGGCAGAGATGTGCCTCACAGCACTGACCTCGTAAACAAGATGTGGAGTAAGCGAATTGGTGACAAAGGAAAGAGATGCTACGAGTCTTGCATTTGAAAGACAGTTGCCCATAAATGTTGCAAGATTCCTCTTCCAGGATTTCTGAGAAGCAGCTGATATGGTTTGCATGTTTGGCCCTTCCAAACTCACACTGAAATTTGATCCTCAGTGCCTGGGGGGGTGTTTGGGTCATGGAGGCAGATGCCTCAAGAATGGCTTGGTGTCCTCCCTGCAGTAATGAGTTAGTTCTCGTTCTGTTAGGTCCCTCGAGAGCTGGCTGTTTAAGAGAGTGGACACCCCTTCCTCTCGCTCGTGCTCTCGCCATGTGACACGCCTACTCCCCCTTCACCTTCTGCCTTGAGTGGAGCTCCCTGAATCCCTCACCAGAAGCAGATGCTGGTGCCACACGTCTTGTACAGTTTCAGAACCGTGAGCCAAATAAACCTCTTTTCTTCGTAAATCACCCAGTCCCAGGTGTTCCTTTACAGCAGGGCAAGTGGGCTAACGCGTCATAACTGCCTCTACCACCCCTAGCCTTTGGTTCTGATCCTTCCGTCCCCAGCCTACAAAGAAAAGTGTTTGTTTTTATTAACAGCTTTATTGAGGTATAATATACATATGATAAAATCCACCTGTTTTAAATGTACAATTCAGTCATACACTTAAAATTGCATCAGCTTCCCAGGATGGCTGTAATCGATCACCAGAAGCCAGGTGGCTTACAAGAACAGAAACCTCTTCTCCCACAGTTTTGGAGGCCAAATTTCTTGGCTTGTGGCAGCACAACTTCAACCTCTGCTTTAGTCTGCACCTGGCGCTCTTTCTTGAGTGTTTCTCTGTCTTCACATGGACTTCTCTTAAGGACACCAGTCACTGGATTTAGAACCTACACTAATGCAGTGTGACACCATCTTAACTAATCATATTTGCAAAGACCCTATTTGTTTCCACAGAAATCCATATTCTCAGGTTCTAGGGGGCACACTATTCAACCCGATATAAGTCTTAATATATCCACATTACCCAATACATATAAATTCATAATACTATTACAACCGGAATATAATATATAAAGTTGTATAATCACCATATCAAATCTTAAAGCATTTACATTTACCCCAAAATATTCCTCCTGCCCATTTACAGTCACTTGCCCTTCCCAACTCAAGTTCTAGGCAATCGCTAATCTATTTTCCGTGCCTATATCACCTTTTCTGGACATTTCCTATAAATGGCACCATACGGCATGTGTTCTTTTGTGTTTAGCTTTCTGGATTTTTTTTCCACTAAGCCTGATGTTTTCAGGTTTCATCCATATTATAGTGCATATCAGTATTTTGTTTCTTTTATTGCTGAATAATATTCCATTGCACGGATATGTAACGTTTTGTTTGTCCACTCACCCACTGACGCACATCTGGGGCATTTCCACTTTTGGGCTATTATGAATGATTCTGCTAAAAACATTCGTGTATAAGTTATCTTGTTGACGTATGTTTTCATTATTCCAGGGTAGATTCCTAAAAGTGGAACTACTGAGTCACATGACAATTCTGTGTATAACATCTTGAGAAACTGCCACAATTTTACCAAGTGGCAGTGCCATTTTTCATTTTCTAGGTAAGAGACTGAGGAGAGAAGAAATGAGAGGAGGAGAGAAATTAAATGGGAATCTTAACTTTGTCAAGATTCAGAGTTCGTGGTGAGGGAACAAGAATGTTCCCCTTAACCGTATGATGTGGGAAGTCAAACAGTAGCTATTGGGTCACCTACAAAAGGTGAGCTCGCATCTTCCTTTGCAGCTGGATGCACACTGGCTGCAGAGACCCCAGGGACACATGCTGCTGCCACTGCAGAGGAGCTGAGGGTGGTGGCTCCTCTGCTAGGGATGCCTTATGTTTGGGCTCACATACACACGTCAGATTTTTTTTCTCATAAGTACCAAGAGCTAACTCACGACAACTAAAGATCTCAAAGCCAACGAAAGCAACCTAAATTGGAAAACTGTAAATAAATCTACAGTAGGCACAAAAAGAAGAAAATATTTCTCATTCTTCCTCTCAAAGCTGGGGAACATGGAGCAGAAACCATGAATCCCACATAGAATTTAGCTTTGAAAGGTGGCCCCTGTTCCTTCCTGATTCCTGACGAAATACCCTTGTGCTTAGAACAAAAGATAGAGACTCCGGTCGCAGAGCTGTGTTCTGGAAATCAATGCATGCTTAATGCGCCACGGTCTCCTGGGTGTCTAAAGGCTGTGGCTGGATTTCTCACTGCGCAGCATTTGTGAAAAGGAAAAGAAATACGTAAAATGGTAGGGCATGAAATCAACACACATTTCCTGTGAGGACTCGTAAGTGTGAGCATTTCCCAAGTCCAGTGAGCGTGAGCCAATTCTGAAATAAGGGTCTCTGCCCTACCTTGGGTGCTCCTGGGCAGGGAGCAACGCATTGTGAAAGCTGGTGTTCCCCTGGAATGTAATTTTCTGGTAATTTAAAACAACCAGCTAGAAGAACCACTGCCTAAAAACTGCAGCGTTCCTTTGAGGACTTGTTTGTTTTCTCCTCTTTTCTTTCTTTTTAAATTTTTTTTAATTACAAGATTTATTGTATTCTATATGGGAGGAATAATCTTTACTAAATCATAGACCTCTGGTTTGTTTATCATTTGCCCACCTTACTCTGCAAAGAATGTGCCTCATTTTTCCTCCCGTTCTCCCTTGAAAGAGAGCCCCACCAAAACGGGTATTTTAGTGCTGGTTAATAAATTCAGCATTTAGGTAGAAATGTTCTGACTAGTCCATGTTCTCCTATCCTGCTATCCTATTTTCAGACCATTTCTTAAAAGAATGATCAAAAGGACTGTGCAAAATGAACCGTTACCATGGCTTCTTTGCAATGCTAATGCTTGAAGGCACGACCTTTTCACTTGTCACAGTTATGGGTGCTGAATGGTGACAACATGTCAGTGCGGCAGTGCGTTCTGCAAGGATTTCTGAAGCATTACGAATGGATGGGGTAATTTAACAGGGATTGGTACCACCGACAAGCCGTGGGCAAACCTTGCTAGCATGGCCAAGGGGCTTTGTCCAAAGAAGGTGTGCTGTGTGCTTCACCCACGAAATTACCCATTAAGGAAGGTGCAGCTTTGTATCGTGATATATCAGTTTATAAATTTCCTTCATAAACCATGATATTACCTAATAGCACCTTTCTTCCTAAGCAAACCTGCATTCTTATGACATGAGGAAGCAGCATCTACTTACTTTCTTGCAGCATAAAGATGCAGTGGTGTAGCGTAGCTGCTGCCACGGGCCAGAGGGAACTGATTG